TTATGATTCATTTTCAAACAATTTGGGTTTCATTTTGAGATTGAAATTTTGTCTGTATTTGCCTGCACTGACTTTGTGTGTGCATTATTACAAACATGCATGGAGAGTAGGTGCACATGTCTGCCTCCAGATGGCTTAGTGAAACTATTAATGCACACAGAATTGTTGATAGAATTATATATGAAAATCAGGCTCATAACATCTGCCCTTTATGTTTTAACTATCCAAATGGCCAAATTTCTTATCCCACCCTTCCTCTCCTCTCCACTCACAAAACAGGAAACTGTTTCCACTGAGTCATTTCACTGGGGAGGGAGGTGAGGTTTGGCCCCCTCCCAAAGAACAAACAGGGCTAGTCCCCCAGAGTCATTAGGTTCCCAAGTTATGTCACAGGCACTGGTAATGTACACATTGGCCTTCTGCCTCTAAAGTCCCTCTTGGCTTTTCCTCAACTCTTGCTGGCTGGCTGCATAACTGCCCCTTCAAGGCTCACAGTGCAGGGGGCAAAGTAAGTCCCACAGTCTTCCAATCTGTAGAGAGTTGCCCCACAGAAGTTCTTTAACTAGATTAGGTAGGAACAGTTCTGCAACAGAGACAATCCCCCCCATCCCAATGCCATTTTTCTTCTTCCTCACCACATTACTCTGCCAAAGTTTTTATCCCTTCTGTACACAGCCTCAAAAGTTTACACTGATGTAAAGTGTCTGGGAGTGAGGTCAGCAAAAAGCCTAACTCTCTTTAAAATTGGTTCATTGTGAGAGGAAATGCTCACAGCTCGAGGAGAAGAGCGTTTCCCTTTCTTTTTCCCCATCTCCAAATTATATAAAACCATGGTACTGCTGTTAGTTGAGACCAAAAAGAATCCGCCTGTGGTCTGAGAGTGGCCAACCACGTCAAGCCCTCATCATCAAAATGTTTGTATTAAAAGTTTTAACCCTTACCTACTTAAATTGAGTAAGTAATACTCTGCATTTTTTTAGCAAATAGGGAAAATTATGGGAATTCTTCAGAGAATAAGGGTATAGACCACTGCGCCACTCAGTCTCTTCAGAAAAAAACTGACAAACACACTGTCTGCAACAGAGATTCCTGGCATTTGTCAAAGTTTGAGCCACAAAGATGTCAGATATTTGCCAATGGTTTCCTCACATGGTTTGGAATCTACATCCTTTACATTACATTCTTGTTTGTTTGTGGTATATTTTAACATATGAAATATGTGTCGTGGGAGCCTGAGAGGGGAGCAAACTAACTATAGATATTCAAATATTCAAAGATTAATAATTTTATTCTAAATAAATAAATTACTTCTTGAGGCTGTTTAGATTAAAAATAATAAAGAACATCTGTAAGTTGTGGCATTAGCAACGGAGTTTTATTTTCAGTAATTGCAGCTTAATGGCTCACATTTTAAATGTATGTTTTCTTTTGGAGCAGAAAGAAAAGCTTTCTAGTGAGACCTCCGAATATTTTGCCGAATCTACTGAAAATAAAAAATGTGAAATTCCAGTGAGTCAACAGATAAAGCAAGATATCTTGCAAAAGATGTACGTCTACCTCTTTTTTCTATTTTAAAGATATTAAATATATGATTTAACAATGAGTAATGGAATCTGGCATAGACAGTGAAATGTCAAGTAATGTGCACCTTTTTCTTTATATATAGGGTTACTGTAGGCTAGTAAACATAGGCAACTGACTGTGAATAAGCATATACAAACACTCATTGGAATTTTATAGGATACCAGATATAGCCATTACAACCCATTTATATCCCTCATAGCAGTAGTCAGAACCAGCACGTTTCCTCTAAAGAAAATTGAGCCAAAACAAATATGCACAATGTTTGAATCTGGTGGAAAACATTTTTTTTAAAGATTCTTACCCACCCCCAATGTGTGAGTCTGCAGTTTATAGGGCTGGAAAGAATGGCCCAGCTTTTTGGCTGTAGGTGCAGAAGATGTGCACAGTGCAACTGGACAGAGAAGAGGGTTGGGGGCAAAAGCTTATTTAAGCCTAAATTGTGCTCCCCCAATCAGTGGTCAGCTGTGTGCCAGATTAGTCCCTTGGTGCAAGTTACAGAAGCCAATGGTCCTAAAGAGTTATTACAGCCCCCGGGGATCAGTGCTTTACATGAGTCCTGGCAACACCCCAATTAGCTCTAGTCACATCCCCTGTGCTAGCAGCAGAGTGGGGACTAGGATGTGAGAATCACTATGCTGGTTCAACATCACTGGAAGATTTCCCCTTTCGGAACTGATTCTCCCAAGGCAACAGAACCGCAGAAAGCAGTTTCAGGGAGGGAGAATCTGTGCTGAGACCTTATACTTTAAACCCTACATATGCAGCCCGTGTACTTCTGCATCACATTAATCTTCTAGCCTCTGTGAAGTTCAGATTTGTGTGTAACATGTACAGTTGAACAGTGTTTATATGCTGACACTCCATCAAGTCTCTTGTAATTCCTTTTTCCTTTAATACCTTTGAGAATATCATCCACTTACATTACACCAAAGTCCTTCTCCAGATAAATATGCTTGATATCAACTGGGGGGGAGTCATTACATTTTAGTAATACTTTGAAATGTACCAGGCGAAATTCCAGAGAAACGTTCTAAATTAGATTAGAAACTAACTTCTCCTCTTTCTCTGCATATATGTCTCTGGTTTGAAACCATATAGGCACATTTTGGAGCACTTCTTTATCTAGCCAGTTTGGGGAGGAATCCAATATACTTAGATAGTATTAACCCTTCACATCTGTAATGAATCTAGTTCTGCCTGTTAGAATAAAATTTGACCTTCTTCACAGCTTACTCATTAATAAATAAGATTCCCCTACTGCTGTGGAAAATCAGATGGATAGCGTGTGATCCTTACAATCCACACTAGACAGACATTATTGTCAAGATGATCTACCGGAGAGCTTTTCCCAAATTCAGGATGGGGTTGCCCTAGTTGTCTTTCAGAATTTTTAAAAAGGGCTGTAAAAAGCAGTAATCATTTTTATTATTAAAATCAAAATACTTTTTCATTACAGTGTGGAAAGGACAAAAACAAGGAATGGTAACATGAACAAACTTCAAACCAACAAGGGCGCAATGCAAGTGTATCTTGACTCAAAGGAACATCAAGCTTCTTCCAATCATCTGTCTGAAGTAAAATTTAGGAGTATAGGACAACCAAAGGATTGCATAAGTACAGCTGAGAGCAACTCAGAGCTTCCTGTCTTTGAACTGGAAAATCATGTTAATCAGAGACAGCCAGATGATGCTAGCAGCCAGCAAAAACTTCACTTTGCAGAGTGGTTAAAGATGAGACTTCTAAGCAGTAACCCTCCATGTAGCTGTGAGTCAGCACCGCCAGATCCAAAAGAAAATCGAACAGTGACTAAAACACAGAATCAACAAAAGAGTTGTGGTTCCGAAGACGAGTTAGACCATTGCAAGAAAGTATCTTCTGAACAGGGCCATTTAATCCCCAGAGATGCAGAAAGGAAAAAGAGCAACTCTGATTGTTTAGAACCATCTCTGAAGGAGGAATCCCTACTGAATCCCAAGTTATTTTCTAAGCAAGACTTGGCAAAAAGCATGTCTGATGAGGAGTCACTTACTTTGGGAAAAATTCCCCCAAGACCTGTTTTCATAAAAAATAATATACCAGTAATACAAACAAACCAAAATGAGGCAGCCACAACCACTGAAGAATTATCTCTAATGCCTCTATCCTCTTATTTAAAATCTGACTCCAAACCTTCAGAAAAACTTATCCAAAAAAGAAAAAAAGAGGGAGAAGATGGGCCTAGAAAGTTGAAACTACGAAGGTTTAAGAAGTCCTGATGTATTATCCTACCAAGGTGAAATCAGTTATGCAAATAGACTTGTATTCAATTGGCAGACATATTATGGTGAGTTTTTAGGAAGCAATTCAGAATAGAGAGACGTGATCTACATGCAGAATATTAAATGTAGTGTCTGTGTTGCCATACTTTCTAATGATTAAACTGGGTCATTAAATGCCTTAATCATTTGGAGATTCAACAATAGCACACTTGATTTTTGCCTGTCTGTATTAAGATATTTAAATATTTAGGAAAACAAGGATGTAGTGTTATACAATGAATGAATATGCCATACGTAAAATAGTAACATTTAAAGCTAGACATTCTTTAGGGTTGTGTTTTGTTACTACTAATAAATCAGCATCTGGAGATCTGATGACATTAAAAAGCTAAAGAAACTTCCACTTTTGTCAGTTAACTGGTATAGATGTTCTATTTTTCTGCAGAGTGCATACTACTAAATTCAACATTTTATTAATTGGTACAAGCTCATCATTTAGACTTTTAGAAGAGAAAATACTTGGTTAATTCTTCTGGTCTTTGAAATTTTGTAAAGCAAATAAATATTAACAAAAAAGTACCCTAGTGTAATGTTCTCATCTAAAATATTTTCAAGTAACACTTTAGCCATATTAAAACTATTGAGTGTGGCAGTCATTTAAGGCCTGATTTTTTGATCAGAGACTCAGTATAAATGCCCACAGCTATACAAGCGCTAGCTATATACACAGGAGATAAAATTTTCACATGCATATTCCATTGAGAGAAATGAACCTTCATGTGCAGGAGTTATGGTTGGAGAAGGTGCATGCATAGTTGTGTACATTTGTAAGCGCATGCACAAACATTAAAAATCAGAAATGATTTGTGCTTGAGGGCCACTTTTTAAAGCTTCCTTCGGGGTATTTGGGTTTGAGCCAAATCTATAGTATATTTGACTGTTATCGCTATGACACTGGGGTTTGTTCCTAATATCACATCTTTTTAATGTTACTTTTATTAGCTGTGTACCTCATTTCATGTGCCAATTAACTCATTATTTCACTGTCCTTTTCCTAAAATGGTTATAATAAAATTGCAAGAAATTTCATTTTTGATCAGTCTTAAAATCAATATGACCAATGAAATGTCTTCTGCTTGGCCCAGAGCTTACTACTATGAGTGTCCCCATGTATTTCAATTGGAGTATATGTGGCTTCAAGCATTGCACTTAATAGTAAGTGTTGGCAGGTTGGGCCTTAAATGATAAGTCATCTTAACAGTTGAACGTAAGACACTGTCAACTTGAACAGAACTTTTGTACCCACAGTTATTACAAGTAACCCTTCTGATTACTATGAACATGAAAGAGTAAAAAAGAGAGACATTTTCTCTTCTTTTTTTTCCCAGTTTGGTGACTTTGTGAATATGACAGCACTTTTGAATAGTCCATTTCATAGCATGCCTGTTGATGCTCACTTTTCCCCAGTCTATGCAAAGGGTCATTTATGAGTAACAGGAGCAGCAAAGCTGAAAGTGAAGCGGTATCCAACAGAAGTTTACATACGGGAAGAATGGACATTTTTAGTGTCATCCTCCCCCCCCGATCATTTTAGACATCAGGAGGGAAACAGAAAACATTTACATATTTATTAACTGATTTAAAAGCTATATCCAGGTATTATTCAAAAGGTGTTGTGTCATTAAACTGATAAGAGAAATACTCAATTAACAGTGATGTATTAAAGTATCAGTACAAGTAGTTTAGATAAGTATATTGTTGCATGCATAGTCTAACTGAATTAGTTTAATAGTACAGAGACTGAGACAAGGAAAGGATATGAGTATGTGTTGCACTTCTCAGTTTCCATTCTTTCTAATTGCCTGGATCCTTTTTTGCTGAGAGCTTTCCAATACATTCTAGGTTGTAAAATAATTAGGGTGTTACCTACAGGAGAGGTTCTGATGATAATCCGTTAACATGAATTGACTTGAGTATGGAAAATCACTTGAATTTCTTACCAGTTTATCCCTGTCTGGTTCATCATGTCTCTGCAATCTCATTGACTACAGCTATAATACATACTAACATGTTTGAGAAAGAGGGTCTCAAATTTCTGTTTATTATATGTTCTTAATGCTTTAAAGCTTTCTTTCACAGAAGAGGAAAAAAATAGTTGATTAATTGAAGCAGTTCTAAAACGGAAAATCTGACTGAATACTAGGGATGTAAAATCCTGTTTAAAATGCTAACCGATTAAACGGTATGTATAACCGGTTAACTGGCCTGTTGCACCACAGGCAGGGGGCCATTGGAGTAGCCCCCAGTGCAGTACAGTGGGCCCAACCATGCTGGAGCAGCTCCCCACTCTGCCGTGTTGTGGCATAATGGCCCTGGCCGGGCTGGTACCAGTAACCCCAGTAAGCATGCCAGTAAAGCACTGTTTACCAGGTAACCAGTTAACTGGTTCCTCCTTTATATTACTACTGCACACAGTATGTATGTCATCATGTATTATTATTAAGTCTATATTACAGTTCAAGGTTAAATTACATTTTCAGTTGAAAGATTCCCTTGAATTTAGTTTTCATCTTAATTGAATAAGATAGAATTCATTTACATCTAAAGCTGTTATTCAGACAAGAAATTATCCAGTGGTGAGACTTTTCAAAGTACAGTACCTTGGTACTGTATACTCCCCGATTGCTCCTAGACCTTCAGCTTGCACTGCTTTGCATAATGACCATTTTTAATCCATGTAAGACAGACCACCATGAAAGTTTCACTTACGTATGTATGGGCTGACCTTGCTGAAGATGTTCCTACTTCTGTGACCATCAGGTTGGATTATTGCCAGACACTCTTGTTATGGTTGCCCTTCTGATCTTGGCTATCCTTGGTCTTTAAGGCTGTTCTGATGCACTGTCCAACCACATATAACTCATTGACAAAAAGTTATCATCCAAGACCATGTTGGTCGATGGTGTTGTCCAATGGCTTAAGCTAGGGTTAGGAACAAAAAATTGTAAGAAATGTTTTTGATGGTCAGTGGATTGTGAGCTAGCAGTTTGGATTATTGGGACCCCCATCTTCCAGAAAATTTGCTTCAGAACATGATCACTATACTTCCAGACAAAAGTAATATTAAGGATTTGGTTCTATTCTGAAGCGATGATGAAGTAGTTTGCATGAAATAATAAATAATTTGTGACATGGGGGCATACTTTTTTTTTTTTTTTTAAGTGGAACTTAAAACCAGTGAGAACTGAAAAAGCTGACGGGCATAATTTGCTAGAAATTCTACTGCCAGCACAGCTGGCAGATGTCTGTCCAGAGAGGTCCAGGGAAAGGTTAACGCTGTGAGAAACTGACTGGTCAACTCCAGGAAATGCAAAAATCTTGCTTAAAAATATGCATTTGCTGTAAAGAATGAGACCTCCTTGCCTTAAAAAAAAGCATTACCCACTAAATTTAAACTGCTGTGATTTCTTGAATACACACATAATTGAAACAGTTCTTTCAAAGCTGGGTAAGCTGTAATGTCTGAAAACTGTCAGACTTTTTGTGTTAACATTAAAGCTGTTAAAATATTAAACTTAGTAAATGTCTTAAATCAAAGGCTGGTTTGGCCTTTACAAGTTTTATATATGAAGAGAAAGCTGTTAAAATCTGTTCACTTTGGGCTAATGTTAATCTGCAGAAATATTACACAGTGATCAGAGGGCTTATCATAGGAGTAATAAATCATGTGCTTGTTCTGGTTAGTCTGCATGTCAGAAGTCACATTTGTGTCTCAAAGATCAGACTATGTATTTGTATGTGTTTATGATTGTACAGCACCCATTTCAGCTGTTGTTCTTGGCTCGGTAACTGCAAAAAAAACGCACCACTTATTTTGTTTCCACCAAAAAAAGAACAGAATCAGCAGAAAACTCAGTTGTTCTGCTAAGGAAACTTGTGCTCAAGTGAGTTGTGCAAAGTAAACTGCCCTGTAAGATTGACTCCTCAGGTAAGTTACCTTCCTATTAAGAAATCTGTAGGTCGGTTATGAGAGTTGAATGCTATGAAGATTAATAGCTGCAGCTCATGGATTTTGAATGGTGTGAGACACAGCCAGTTGGAGTGGTTGGTTTGTTTTTTGTTTCTAGGGGAAGTTGGGCTGAAGTAAGCATAGTATATAAAAGGAGAGTTTTTTGGTACTGATCAGAAAGTGCTTTACAGAGGACAAAGATGTGTTTTTCCATTAACGTAGGAGTAAAATGACTTGCCCAAGGCAAAGAGCAATTCAGTGTTAGAACTGGGAATTGAATCCAGTCCAGTACAGGCTATAGTTGACTCTGCACTCTGTCAAGTGCCTTTAAGCCTTCAGGGGCTTGACCCATTTATTTGGTGGACCTCTAGAATTCTGGTCAAAGCCAGTCAATCTGTGTTTTTTCCCAGAGAAAAGTTGAACACCTCATTGGACTCCCCCCCCCCATTAGGAAATTGCTTTTGGAGACCAAAGGTTTTGGGCACTTCCTAATTTGAAAAAAATCTGTAGTGGGGTGGTAGACTGTAATGAAGGTCATGGTGTCAAAGTCTCCCATGACCAATCTTGAGAACGAATAGGAAGTAAAGATTCTGTTCCCATCACCCTCAGTGACATTCTAATGTGGGATAGTCCTGTTCCATCTTCAGAGGGAGAAAGGGGCAGATGTGGAAGAGCTTTGCTCATGGGATGGAGACCAGCCCTTACTCATCTACATGAGATTTTCCAGGCTCTATAGTATTGCTAAAACAAGCTTTAGGCCAAGTCCCAGAGAGGTAGAGTAGGAGTTAAGTGAGCATCATAGCAAGAGGTATAAGCAGCTGCAAGCTTTCTTGAGGTTGCAGTGAGGGGCAGCTGTGCTGACCATGGCTATCCAGAGGCAGAAGTGAACAACTTGGGCCTTAATGCATCAACTTGCTAATTAGTCTGGCCAGAGTAGGTAACTAACACACCAGGGACCTCCAACACTTAGAGGGCTTAATTGGGCAGCAGGTGAGATGCTGTGTGACACTATTGCCAAGGAGAAGGGGGCAGTTAGCCTTGAGTGGCTCTGGTCAGAGGGTTGCTTCCTGATCAAATGGCAGCTTTTGCCATGCATATAAAAGCATGTGCTGCTAGTACTCTACAGCAAAAGGAAGGTAAGTAGCAACCCACGGGTTCTGTTCACCAGCTGCCATTCAGCCTATTTAGAATTGCTGTGCAGTAACATTTCTGGAAGTTTACATGTATCTTATACAATTGCCATAAACAGTAGGGGAGTTGCTCCCCCAAGAAAGTACCTTTCCACACCCCTTGGAGCCAAGACTATCTTAAATCTTTAATTCTAATATGTTGAAAGGTTTTATAAATACTTGCTTCTACATAAGCTGGACAGTATTTTCCACATTAAGGTGCACTGACTTCACCATATTTGCTGCAAGTTTAAACAAACCTGTTTGAAAGATCCAGCTAGTTGTAACTACAGTTCTGCTGATTAGAAGCAGGAGAAATTTTAACTGTGTAAAGTTTGTATTTTAAAAAGTAGTTCAGGCAGCAGACTTGTTCCAGTTCTGAGCTGAGTAGCCATAAACATACCCACCCCTGTAGCAGGAAGTTGTTCCTGACCATACTGGGCAAGGAAGATGCCTACAGTAAAGTGGCAGAGCAACTTCCACAAAAATAAATGTGCACCTTAGTTTTGTCACATGAAAGTCTTAAGCTTCTCTATTTCTATTTTTAAAAGAGCTAAGACCAGCTTCCAGTGTGCTGGCTGTTTTGAATTCACCAGTGTGGATTTTACAGCAGCCACTTTGTCAATGAAAATGCAATGCAAGATTTCTCCATGATAACCTCCAAGAACTCTGTTACCTGGATACAAAGAAGTATCAACTCAGAGCTAGTACCACATATACCTAAGTCTAGTCTTTACAATTAGACTGAAAACAGGGTCCTCATAGCAAACTCCACCTAGGCAGTAAAAATTACTAGTTATATAAAAGGTTTCATAAAATTCAGAGCAGAGCCCTGACTGACACTAGCTTGAACCTATAGAGGCAGCCATTAAATGGAGGATATGAGACTAGCATAAGATGAACCTAATGCAAAATGCTAACAGTTTAATAAAGGAGAGTGAGGTTTAGACTGCTATTCTTAGTCACACCAGGAGTCAACCAACAAGCCTACTCACATGAGGCCTAACATTTAATTTTAGTTGCTTAGTAAAGCAAAGTCACTGGCTTATCTTTGGTCCCAACTCTTCAGTGATACTGCTTTGCAACAAGATGGCCAACCCTATTAGGATTTGGCTACCTGAAGAAAGCCATTCCTACATAAAACTATTTACCGAGTTTTAGACTGCTGGGCAAGAGAGTTAACACTGTTTAAGGGGAACTGGCAAGTGGAAGTAGGACAAAGACAATGCCACAGGCATTAAACATTCACTGCTTTAAGTACTACTCTATAGTTCAACTTAGAGGTTCATTCAGTAAACTGTCAATTCTCTGGTGGTACAATAAGTTAGTTGTGGCATATGATGAAGACTACCGCACTTTCAAGTTGCTTTTACAACAAGCCGGAGTTTACTTGAATGGCAGGAAAGTTGTAGTTTGAATTATCTAAACAGAGTAAGTTGACTGGTGTCAGTGTTTCCAATTATAGGATCTCACACAAGGCATTTCTAATCCTTTTAACAATAGAACCTTAATTCCTGTACTGAATTTTCATAAGTGGGATTTCCTATCTGAGAAGGTCTCTTTAGAAAAATGAGCTTGGTTCTGCACTTAGACCCAGTCTGCACTGGTGTAACTAGCAAAAGGGTCAGAAAGTCTCAGATCTTTGCACTGAGCATGACTACACAGGGAAAGGACAAATCAGACTGACAATTGAAGTTTCACACTGTAAATATGGTCTTATCAGATACCCCTCTAACTGCTACACCAACATAAAAATACAAGGAACTCTGAGTGGTTTAGAACTGGAGGAACTCTACCATCAATGGAGCCAGTCCAGTAGGAGTAACAAGCAGGGCTGCTGCCTTTAAGGATGCAATGCAATCACTGCCCAGAGCTACACAAGTAATTTTTCAGAGAGCAGTTACTTCAAGAATAGCTGTCATGCTTTGCAAGCCACTTGCTGGAAGTGAAGGAAAAATATTTTCCTGAACAGCTTTGAATCTGGCTGAGCTATTCCATAGCCCACATGAGGTGAGCTTGTGGTGCATGAAAGCTTACACCACACTATTTAAGTAGCCTACCCCTGATTTAAAGCTCACTGAAAGCCATTGGGAGTCTTTCTATACACACCTATGGCTAATGTACCTTGGGATCAGGGGACAAAGCTAGCTGCAAGGGCCTCACTGAAGCTTAATAACCTCCACGCTGTTTTAAGTTTTCATACAAAACGTTTAATAAATATTACCTTTTTAAGATTTATTGCCAGAAAAAAACACAAAGATGCATTTTCATGTTTGTATAACACTAATATCACAAGGTATCTTCATGATCTCAATGGTTAACCAATGAGACTGGGTTTATAAGCCTTTTTGATCTTAACACTGTAATAGCACTTTGATTTCCTCACTTAAGGCGGGCAGTGTAATCTATGGCAAATCTACACAGTGATCTTACTGGACATTCTACTGTTCAAGTATTCATCGACTAGCTTATTAGAATACTCCCTAAATGCAGTAGATTACAAAAAAATCAAATCTACAAGTGGTTCAGTATTACAATATTCATGGTGAAAAAAATCAGAATTTACAAAATAAGATTGCTGTGCTTCCAACTTCACTCGCTAATTTGATATTTTAATTACATGCGACCACTCACATTTCATCTACATCACGTTATAGCTCATTTTTGTTCCCTTAAACTGCTTTGTAGCAGACTGCCTGTCACTCTTTCAAGTCTAAAGCAGCAAAAAAAATTCTAATCTAAACTGCCTCAGTCAGTACTTACAAATAGTCTTAAAGTGATACTATGGAAGGTGTTTCAAACATTTGACATTGTACAAAACACAGTATCAAGGCATGAAAGCCCGTCCTATTGTTAAAAATAAACTATTTTTAGAACACCTTAGTTTTGGCATATAGGCAACATGTAACAAGAAAATAAATTCAAAATAAAGAAGCCACAAGCTTACAATGCTATCAAAAACCTTCAACTCTAAACATACATATAAATAAAAAGGAATGATATTTAAGGCTCTTGATTATTAAGTTAATAAATCAAATATACACAGTGATTAATAAAAAAGAATTATTTACATATCTATACAAACTTCTACTTAACACATTTTCCTCTTTAAATTCTTCATTCATCAGCAACTGCTGATATCAAGCCCTGTCCCACCCCCAACAAAAATACAATAAAAAAATAAATTAACTTATTTTTGATAGTTGCTGTGGTTCTGAGCTGCAAAGGCACTTTCAAATACAGAACTAGTTGTACGTCACCATAAAACCAATATACAAAAAACTCAAGATTCAATAAATATAAATAAAATGTATTTTCTAATGTATAAGTCAGGACACATCTGGCAAAAAAGTTGACACTGAAGAGGAGCTAATAAAGCTATGCAATACCTTATGAAACATTTCCATGATATATCAGCTACAGCTGAATTTACATTAGGGCACTTTTGACTAGTTTTGCATAGATGTGAAATGCAGCACTTGGTATTCCAGCCAACCACAGCAACTATCATTGCCAGTGTAAGCCAGCTTGTCAAAACTTAAATTAACACAGGGATTCTAAGTAAATAATAGCCTTAGACTCAAATATTACACAACAGTTTAAGAACTACAAGCTCTGAGTGCCTTTATAATGGTATCTAAAGGCTCTGCATGGCAGCACCTGCTGTCTGCTATACAATGTATTCCATCCGATTTAGGCTTTGTGCACTCTCCAAGTCTCTGTTGTCTTGTTTATTTGTCCAGTTCGGGTGTTTTGTCGGAGTGCTATTGGGTGGCTTTTCATCTCTGTCTACCAGTGTATATGCTGGCT